GTCATAATACAGCTCTGTCCATGCAGGAAAACATATCAGGAAAATAGAGTGGTGTTGAATGGGAAATGGTCTCCTTCCAGTTCTATTGCAAGATTCTTCTATTTTATTCTCCAGAGAGGAACCTTCTTGTTTTTTACATGCATATTTACCTCTTGACATTTTATACCCATTTGTCCCTGAACTGTCATTGTCCATTAATGTCTAGAGCTTCCTCTCTGGTATTTGCTCTTCCAACATATTTTCGCAGATAGGATGATATCTCTTCCCTCAGCCTTGCTTTGCCAAGTTAAGCAAACCAAACCCTTTACTAAATGATTCCGTGATTCTATTCTTTACATCTTAAAATAAACCCCAATTTCCATGATCATCTCAGATGTCATTCCTAGTATCTACTTGAACCGACTTTGTCTTTTTTTGTACACCAACTAGCAGAGTGGCATACGCTACTCAAGCATATGCCCTCTATGGTGTCCCTCTGACTTAAAATTCTGTAAGCTTAATTTTAAAGTTTAAGTTCCTGAGTATCATGTTTTCCACATTTTCACTTCAGGGGTGCATGGCAGATAAAATCTTGATAGACCCTCAGCATGCGGCAATAACTTTAGCTCCGAGGTCAGGGGTTTTACTATCCTGCCTTTGCCTACCCACCGGATGGAAAGCTGCATCCCTACCGAGAAAAAAGCTGTCCCCTCCCTTTTTAAAACCCTGCGCCATTCCATACAGCAGCTTGCTTGAAATCTGCATGAAGGTCTCCAAACCCAAGCACTTTGGGGTTAGGATGTGTCAGAATTAATGTCGTTTGGACTTCTGACTGTGCCTGCCTGTGTATATGCCGTGTGACATAGCGAATTAGCAGTAATTTCTCATTTAGTCCTCTGCATGGGTATTGCTGTCTGAATGAGCAGTTCTTTGATGATTAGCTTCACTTTTATTGCTTGCTGTGCATCTCAAACGCCATTATTTCCAGCACACACGCTTTTTTTTTTTTTTCACATGCTACCCCAAACCTAGCTCTTAATAAAGAAAGATTAATGCTTGCAAACTTCAGTTTGTAGCAGGTTAAAGGCCCATCAAGAAGGAGCAAAGTATCCTGCTCCAGTGTGCAGATATGGACTAAATGGCTTCTGGATGACTACCTAACTTTATATTTCTGATTTTGCATAAAGGCACCCCACACAAACATACACAATATATTAGCTGTTGTGTTCTCTTGTTCTTTCACTTTTATATTTATATTCGTATTAGGCAAACTCTGCAAAACAGAGATTTCTATCTGGAAACACGTTGCAATATGTATGAATACACAGACACTCACAAGAAGATAAAACTATGTGATAGTCATCTCTGATTCTCCAGCTGTGCAAGGCTGTAGCAGTCAGAGCAATCACCTCTATCTTTCCTTGACAAACCAATGAGCCATGCTTGGAGTGACCCTAACAAAGGAGTTAAATTAAAATCATGTAAACCAGCATTTAACATCATAACAGACAAGTCATTTTTTTAACAGCTTGGCAGTATGATATACAGACTTAGTGCCTAGCTGCCCAGCCACAGCAAGGTTTCCAGGGCTCCTGTCAGCCTCACTGTCCTGGGCTGCAGAGACAAACACCCAGTCTCTGCTGATCAAAGATTTTGTTGTTGTCCTGATGCAAGAGGAGCCACTAGTCTGAAACTGCAGGAGACTGGCCCGGCAGGAGTGCAGGTTTCTGCGTATATCTGACAACCTGATTGGATTTTGCACAACTCAGGGGTAAAAATATTTCTTTTTTTCCTTCCACAGAAAAATACACTGGAATACTTAGCCTGACTTGTAATCCCAGCCCCATTATCCTTGCCTGTGCTAGCATGTACTTCCTAAAGAGAGACAGATAGACAGTGGGGATACTACATGTCCCAACAGGAAAACCCTGATTTCATTTCACAAGTTATCTGTGGCCTTATTGCATCAGAAATGTCAGCCATGAGTAATTCCAGAAAAGCTATGACTGATGGGGAGCAATAAATAACACTGCAGAGGAGCCCAAGCAGCTCAGGGTGGATGAGCTCTGAGCTGGTCCTGTGATCTGGTGATGTTAGTATTCTCTTCAATAAACATCCCAGGTCTTCCACTACTGAACTTTAAGTTAACACTGCTCTTGTCTCTATGATAAAGCAGACCTCTCCTGATCCTTCCTTTCACAGAGTATGCACAGATGGGAAGGCAAACCCCAGCAGTCCCCAGTGTGGAGATGTCATTTATGCCTGAAAAAAAAAAGGCAGCCACAAGGTTTCTTCCCTGGCACACAGAAGAGGACGGTCCTCTCCTTTAGGTGATTTCTTTCCTGCCTCTGTGATGTAACACTAATGCATTCAGGAACCTATAGGCATTTAACAGAGTTCTGGTGAACTTCCTCTAACAACCTTATGTCTTGATCCTTTCACACAGTGTAGATATTGTTGATTCTCTTGTTCTGATCATCAATAACAAACACACTGGACGAGGGCCCTTGTACCCATCACACTCTACAGGTTACGGCATGTCTTGGAATGGCATAAAGACAGGATAACGTTTCCTATCACACCCTGTAAAACTTCCTACAACATTATTTTTCTGTCCCATTTTGTAGTATCCTGCATCATAACACTAATATCTCCACTGACAATAGTGATGTTAGTTCTGCTGATAAAAATATAGTATATCTTCCGTTTGGCCATGTTTAAGTTTTGATATTGCAAATAATATCTTCACACTGTGCTTAATATAACACCAGTTTAAAAAAAAACAACAACAAAACAACAAACAACCAAACAAAAAAAAAATCAAATCAAAACCTAAACAAGTCCAACAAACCAAAACCAAACAACAAACCACAAGACTCCTACAGCCACAGACCAGTGTCCTTACTCTCAGTGCATCACTACTGAGAGCCACACAATGCCTAGTGAAAAGTCAAGCATGTGAATAGTAGTTTGTATGACTAGCAGCCAACAGACATTACGATGGTATAGGGGTCAGCGGTAAATGTTAGACGATATGGTATTAATTAGAGAAAGTAAGTCTTAGACAAATCCAATTTCTTTCTTGTATAGATGGAATATGCTTATACTTGGGTAAGGCTCAGTAGTGCACAACATAAAAAAATAACAACATTATGCAATATCAAGAGAGTACACCGTAAGGTTGCCAAACATCAAATCCCAGGTCCCGCATTAAAAACAGATGGGTTATTACCTTTTTCATATTTCCCATATGCTTTTAATACAGATTCTGGATCTGAGGCTGAAATATACTGCTGTCTGCTCCCTTCCCAGCCTTGTTCCTCACAGCCTTCTCTGCAGATAAGGGCTGCCACCTGGGCCATGCAAATCGTGGCTGCAAGAGGCTGAAAAGAGCAAGACAGGGGCAGAGGAAGGAGGAACAGAAAGGGTTGTTTATTGCTGTGGAGGAGAGGAAGAACAATGACCTTCAAAAAGTGAGACTTGGTACAGAAAATCAATAAAAAAATAGTATGTACAAAACTGGCCAAGAACTATATAACCGACTGAGCTCAGAAGGCAGCTCCCATTGGGAAATGATTCTAAAGTAAAGGAGTGTCCTGTGGTGTTCTGTCAAAATCAGCTGCAGGCCTGATGCTGTATGTGAATCGAGAAACAAATATAAAACCACTGTGATAAAATGCATGGAAGGATTGGTGGGCTGGTAGATTATGGAAGGAATAGTCAAACATGGGAGCCTAGATCATGTGGTGTTTAGGATCTGTGAAAACAAACTGAGTGAATCGGGTTCTGGAAAGCTAGAACTGAAAAGGAATTAAAGAATACAGGGAGAAAACAGGTGAGCATGAGCTGTCCTATTTCTGTGGAAAAATGGACTAATGGGGTCATTGAATTCTGGCAGTAGAAAATGGGATTTCATATCACTTTTGCATATGGCACTGATATCATAGAATCACAGGTTGGACGAGACCTCAAGGACCATCTGGTCCAACTTTTCCTGGCAAAAACATGGTCTAGACAAGACGGCCTATTCCTCTGTCCAGCTGAATCTTTAAAGTGTCCGGTGCTGGGGAATCCACCATGAAGGAAAACCAATGGGCTTTAAGACATACACACCTCAAACAGGATTCAGCAAACTGAGACAGAGAAGGGCAGAAACAGTCACCAGAACTGAAACCTTTCAACTTATTAAGAAGCAGAGAGCTAAATGATTTGATTACTCTGGAGGTATCTGGAGGAGGAGGAAGAGTCAATGCCCAGAAACTCGCTGATGTAACAGTGAAGGAAAGAACAAGAAACTCTGATGGGAAGGTGGAGAGAGAGGCTGACAAGAGAAAATGAGAAAGTACTTGTGACAGCAAAAACAGGGGCAGCATCCGACATATAGGCACACGTTCAGGTAGTGTTGGTTGTGTCCCGCTCTTGTACCTTCAAGACCAGATGGTTTTCTAGAATCTTAGCCAAAAAGAAAGGTCGGTGCTGAGGTATCAAAGCCAACAGCAGTGGCCTGTGTCATGCAGGAGACAGACCGAAGTATAATTAAATAGTGTTTTCTGGCCTTAAATTCTAAAAGTATACGAATCAAGGTTTAGATCTACATGTTAGTTAAGGCAACAACCCATCTTTAAAAATGCATCTCCGGTGTGACACCAATTTATAAACATTCACAGATTTAATTGTTTAAAATTTAAGAGTGATTATAGTCTGAACTTCTTTAGAAACATTGACTTTACCCAATAACTTATAGTTTCAAGGCAGACTTCCAGGAACTCTGTTCCAGATTTAAAGCATCAGGAAGATCTCTGCACTGGAGATTCATGAGCACCAAAAGAATAACATGGAAATTCACACTCAGGAGTTCAGCTATACTTGGGCATAACTCTGGCATGGAATACTTTAGAACATATTTCAGCAGGGTTAGTTATATTTCAGAACTTACTCCCCATCTGAATGAGCAGATCAAGCAGCTAAGTTGCCTCATTACACTTAAATCAATATTTGCTGATACTGAATCTGACACTTACCTGCTGTTAGCTTCTGCTGGGAACAGTAAGGCAGACTGAGTCACCATTAAGGTGTCAACTGGCAAGCCAAGGCCTCTCTGGAGGTCTCCAGTCTGATGAGTGTTGATAATGGTTCTGGCCAAACTCTTTAAGTTGTCACTTGCCAGCTCGTTTCTTGGATGGCCTGGTGGATCACCAAGTTCAATAATGAGCACTCTTGATGGACCAGCTGCATCAGATGGCTGCAGAGCTCGGGTGCTCACTGGTCCTCTCCTCACTTTCTGTGAGCCATATCCACTATGAAGGGCTGTGCAAAATGCCATGTTAGGGCAGTGGTATTTCCTTTTACCAGCATTGGACGAGATTAACTTCAACATGCTTTCACCACCCAGCACATGATGGACTACTCTGACTTGGTCATGACCAACCTTCAAGAAATCAGCTAATCGATGTATTATACTTGCTTCACCCTCTTCCCCAACAGCCTCAGTTATAGCGAAAGCCACAAGAAGGGAAACACCAGCAACTATTTCTACAGGTTCCTTTTCATGGAGGAGAACATAGAGAAGATTTTCTTCAAAGCTAAAGTAATTGGCTCCGGCCCCTTCATTCAGAGAAAAAGAAGATGTGGTTGGAGAGACATATTTCCCTTGAATGAAAACACGAAGGCTGAGTGGTTCATTGTAGAATATAGCTAGAGGCAGTCTGGTTGCATTTTGGCCACTGAGGAGGTAGAGTCTGAATGTCAGAGGAGCTAGGTCTGGGAAGCAAACCGTAGTGAGTTTGCTGGATGGCAACACAGAAAAGAAAGTAGAACAATCCTCTGCAGGATAACATAAAGTATGTGAAGTCGCATCACTGAAGGTATCCATAAAGCTGCCAGTCATTGCTACCACTGGAAACAGTCTCTGGTTGGTCATACTGGGGTCCAAGTTTTCTAGGATGACAAGCGCGTGATCTGATTTCTTGCAGAAGTAGCCTTGTACCCCAGGCTGGAAGATGCACTTGCTGTCATCTCTGTAAATTCCTGGAAGAGAGTAAAGGGAGATGAGGGGGGAAAAAAAAAAAAAAAAAAAAAAAAAGGTTGTTTCAAACATCATCTCAACATTTTGTGGTGTAGCTGTTTATTTTTCCATTCAGTGCTCAAAGTCACTTTTGTTGTTGCTGAAATTTTATATAGTTTTAAGGGAAGGCTGGACACTAAGGAATATTAAATAGGTAGAAACCACATCTACCTCAAGATGTCCTTGAGCTGAAAGTGATTGAAGACTGCTAATGAATGACAGAGAAGCATCACACACACCTACCTTGTCTTTCTAGATGTCAAACTATGTCCATTGTTGAAAGAGAAGTTACACTAGATGAACCTTTGGTCTGACTCAGCACTGTGTCCCTATGTCCTTGTGTCTTCTACATTCTCCTGGTTCTAAGCCTGTAGCGAGGTCTCAGATCAGGGCATGACTGCAAATCTTTGGAAAGGAAATTTACACAAAGCCATCTCATCCTACTCATGATTTTATCTTGAACAAAAATACTAAAGGTCCAGAACTTCATTAATCTACTCCAGCGGTGAACTGCCTCACTGAGTTTTAGAGTGAGAAGAAAGCACAATGTTCAGACACCTACAAATAGGGGAGACCCTTACATGTTCTCCAAGCGCTCAAGCTCCCACTGCAGTCAGTGGAGATCTGGAGTTTAAATCATTTTCCCACGGGAGGGCATTTAGTATCACATGTGGTACTCTGAGGTACCTGAGACATGTGGCACAGGGTCTACAGAAGACCTATCCCCTTCAAGGCTGGCAGCTGGGGGCCTGCTGGAACACCCCACAACACCTGAAATTACACCTAGACGCACATTCATGGGAAGTGAAACACTCTCAATTCCACAGCCATGAATATAGACAAAGCAGTTTAGAAAGCAATTTAAGTTCACCCTAAAATACCTCTGTTTTGTCAACTGGATCACCCTTTATTATCCTCTAACTTTATGACAAGAGGTAGGATCCTGTCACTTAAACACAGGTATGTAATGTCACCTGGGCTTCTTTGGGTCTCTCCAACATACATAACACATGATCCATGAGAATGCAAAAGCCACTTTAGGTATTCTTTCCCTGAATATAACAGGAGCTAAGATGCTTCCATGTTTGTCAGAATTTGCCACCAAATCCCATCTCACGTGTCCCAAGTGGAGAGAAGTCAAGAGGATGCTTTCACGGAAGGCTCTATACAGAAGAGATGTAAACCACAGAGTCTTCTGAGTTAGGGTATGCTCCATCTGACCAAATATAGGTCTCTGCTTTAAGATGAGAGAAATCTTGCCTCAGGCTATAATGATGAGATCATCACTGATTATAAAGAGAGAATAAAAGTAAATGAGTTCAGATACGGGCACCAAAACCATAAACATTTCTGCCTGAAGCATCTTAGGAAAAGATATGTGTTTTTGTTTTTCCTTCTTCTCTTCAAAATAAAAATCAAAGGAGGAATTTGCTGCTGCAGCCAGCTATAATACTCCTTCCCTCCCCAAGCCTGCTTCTTCCCTAGTTAGATGTGCTCACGAACGTGTTCAGCAAAGCATGGCCAATGTCTAAACTAACTCTGTGCTCCACATTCAGTGGCTTTGGGGACGTACATGCTGATCAGCAGCGTCTGGTGCTAATGATAAAAAGAAAGAGATAGCAAAATCCCAGAGAGTCACAGACTTGTGGATGAATAAAAGGGCATTCCCTTCATCAAGGGAACTTTATGTGAAACTCATTGTTAGAAGAAAATAACAGATTCCTGAAAAAGAAACAAACTATGAGAAATCATTCTGGACTCCGCTTATAGTTACACCTTGATGCCTGGATCCTGTGGACATTGACCTCCTGTTTATTTCAAGGGGATTCCTTATGTGCAGACTGTGGTCTGTGAGCATTTCCCAGAACAAGCTCTTGCTCTGCACATCACTGAGGAAAGCGATGAAATTACATAAACGTCAAGCTCTGTTCAGGGATGACATCCAAGTGAGACAGGATCTTTGCAAAACCCCCTATTTTTAGACACCAGTTTACCGATTTATTTCCCTTTTTCTTGCTTTTTTTTTTTTTTCCCAGTGTAAGTATTTTGCTATCAGCATGCGTAGGGGGGAAAGGGAGAGAGAGAGAGGCAACTCCATTCAGAAGCAGAAGTGGAAATGCTGCTCTCTGAGACATTTGGTATTGTCCTGGGGCGCTGGGAGGATGCACCCTGCAGCAGGCAGCCAGCCCGCAAAGGCTGACAGATCTCATCGTCTGCTCTCCCGGAAACCCCCCATCTCCCCCCGGTGACATTTCTCTTGTCTACAAATGGGATTTGCTGATATTTTGTGATTTCCCAGGACTTTCCTTTGCCCTGCCTGCCTTGCAACATGGGGCTTGCTTGGTTTCCTGCACACACACACACACACACACACACGCACACACATCGTTGCTTGTCTCCTTCCAAATGGCTTTATCTGCCAGTCACAATTTCTGCAGTCTGCAATTTCGATCACTTTTAAATGAAACCCATGCTGGCCTTAGTAATCATAATGTCATTTACAATTTACCACAAAACACGTTTATTCAGTTAGTAGCACATTGGAGAAAGAGAACTCCATATGAACTCGCCGCTGAAGCCCTAATCTGATTATTTCCTCATGAAAATCCAAGCAGGGGTGCTTGTAAGAGGGGTCTGAGAGGAGAAGGAAAAAGTGAGTCCTGGCCACAGCTGACTCTCATAATCAATGGGAATAGATAAGTGACGTGGCGTGTCAGGGCCAGCAGCTAATCTGCCCCGGGGCTTTCCTCTAAAAAAGGCCAGGGTGGACAGGACTTAATAAATACTGAGTGACCACTGAATATTGAGCTGACATGTGCTATTTACATTGACGATGAACAATAACAGTGATAAATTCCAGGAGCATCCCCCGACAATGGGTGAAATTAGATTAAATAAGTTACTTGTATGTGCACGTGCATTTGCACACACACGTGTGTGAAAAAAAAAAAAATAAATAAAAGGGTGGGAACAAAAGAGAAAGAGAAAGCTGGCATGTGTGAGTCAACTGGAGACCCTTAGGATGGTGGGAAAGATGGAGAAGATGTTCATATCTGTAGCGACGTGTGCACAGGTGAGGCTGAACGTCCCACCAGGAGCTGTGAGCACCCGGGCAGAGGAAGAGTGCACGTGTGTGCGCGCACGGCCACGTGTGTGTGTGTGTGTGTCCTGCTCCGTGCAAGAAAGAGAAATAATACATGGAGAGAGTGTGTGTGTTCATCTACTTCCTCAGCCCCAGAGAGCAGACTTTGCTTTCTGAGGATTGCCCTATCATCAAGTCAAGTTTATTATTTAATTATATACATGCACACACACACACACATAGACACACAAACATATATATCTATATGAGATTTTAGCACTCAGGTTGCTTCTAGGGCTCCTGACAAATATTAACTTTGTGTCAATATTTGTCCTTCCTGTCGTGAAATGAGGATTTTCCACCTCATTTCACATTTGAAAAGAAAAATGCGCCGAGGGGGTCCTCTTTGCTTAGGAAAAAAAAACACCAACAACAGCAACATCTCATATCCTTTATTTAGAAAAATGGAGCAGGAGGGAAGAAGGGAAGAGTATTTTTAAAATAGATGTTTTGACTTAAAGGCACATAGAAGCCTTTGCAGGTCTCCTGCTTTTTTCTTAGTTCCCCAGTGCCAAATAAATAAAATAAAATAAAATAAATTCTACATTTAAAATTGAATGAAATACATCAGCATTAATGATTTTCCCCTTCAGGTTAACACCACCATTTCCTTCAATAATTTTTACCCATTTCGTGATAGATTTCACAATTCATGGTACAAGGAACAATATAGTCTTTTTTTTTTTTTTTTTTTTTTTTTTTTTTTGACAAAAACAAAAGGCAATGTCATTTTTTCATCAAAATAAAATAAATCTCCCACAATTTTCTTTCCATCTGACTGGATTTGCCCGTCAGTTATTTCTAATTTAACTACAATTATAGTTACAAAAATACAAAAATGAGTAGGGGAGGAAGGGGGAAGGGAGAGATAAATGGGACACTGTTTAGAAATTGCAATTCATTGGCCTTGGGCTGGCCGGCACATATCTTTGCTGAGGGGGAAATATTCATCAGCATTAACTGTTCTTTTTGACCTGCTGACATTCAAATGTGAAAAAAAAAAAAAAAAAATGGAAAAAAAAGGGCCCAGCAATAGGACCTTAGAAATCTCGCAAAGGTAAATTATTCTGAGGTCAGTAATTTTTTTCTATACAAAAGGTTTTCTGCATTTCTTGAGTTCAGATGTTCCCCATAAATAATTTTGACCCCGATTCTCCTGTCTAATCCCTCACACAGAGTCCTCGTGCCCATGCACTCATCCTTTGAAAGTGATGGCTCTGCAGACACTGCTCTTCTAAATCTTTATGTAGGTAAGTGAAAACAAGCCCATCACCTTCAGCAGATGCTGAGACAAGGCATCCCCCAGCATTTTCAGAAATCTCAGTGACTCTAAATTAGGGATATCACTCAGTTGAGTTTAGCTGTGTCCCCATGGTGGGTAAGCACCCAGATACACAATGTCAAGTAACTTATTTGTGGCGGGTTTCTGGCAAGGTGTGTGTTGAGAACACACACACACACACAGAGGAATGCGTGATGGCATGTGTGCTTGTTTGTGTTTTTGTGTATGTATGTGTGTGAGATCCAGGCAAATATACACTCATAGCGGGGACCATGTAAACAAAACCAAAGTGGTTGCTTTAGGCTCTTAATTCTTTCTTTTAAAGAAAATTATTTTAGAAGGAAATGAGTCTCATAACATCACACTGTGTGGGTTTTTATGCTCCCTGTTTATCGTTCCTCCATAAAAAGCTTTGAACCCCCCTGGCCAATTTCAGTCATATTTGTGGACTCAAGGATACGATGTTCCTACAAGTTTTGTAAAAGTAGGTGTCCAAGCAGAGGGAAGACAGTTTTCAGTGCTTCCACTGCAGTCTGTAG